GGTACGTTTGAATATAGGTCCATGTGGGACGTCGACTCCACCGATGATCATGTGAATGATATGTTGAGGTTCTTCCAGTTCATTCTTCCTATTTGCATCTCTTTCTCGGAAATGGTTCGTGGCCCGGTCACTGAGAAATTCATGAAGACGCCCCTCGTTGAACAACTGGGCTACCTCCTCTATAATCTCCCTGCAATCCTCGGTCCTGTGCCCATGAGTACCATGATATTTGCACATCTAGTTGGGGTTCCTCTAAGAAGGATCGGTCTGTATAGGCTTGGGCCATCTAGTATCTCTAATTTTGCCAATGGTTGAGACGATCCCCGATGCGTCAACACTGAAGTTGTACTCCGATAATCGGGGTGCCTCCGCCGGTCCCGAGTGCCTATCAAACCCGATTTTACTTATGAGTCCCGGGAACTTTGACCTCGATCTAATCTTCGATCATTCCGAGGTATGTTACGCCTTGAAATGTTCCTTCGATCCTTGACGTATGGTTGATATCTCTCCTAATTCGACCTTGATGCCCTGTCTGCATTTCCTGACTCTTTTGCTAATAAACTGCTTGGGTAAACTAAGCCCGAGGGGGCTCCCAACTGGTCATCCTCGACCCTAATTTTTGATTGGTACCTGTTATGCACAACCGCCCAAGTCATGGCAGGATACTCGATCAAGTTTTGCTTCAAGTGCTTCGAAGCTATCGAACTTTGTTTGTTTATCCCCTGAGTAAAGGCATGTATGGCCCAGTCATGGGAGACTGGTGGTAACTCCATTCCTAACTGGAAACGGGATACAAACTCCCTCAGCATCTCGTTCTCCCTTTGCTTTATTTTGAACACATCGGACTTCCTTGTTGCTACTTTTATGTCGCCGGCATGTTCCTTTAAAAATGAATCTGCCAACATGGAAAATGAATCGATAGAGTTCGGGGGTAAGTTATGGTACCAGATCATGGCATCTTTAGACAGAGTTTCCCTAAACGCTTTTAGCAAAACAGATTCAATCTCATCATCTTCCAAATCATTTCCTTTTATGCCACAAGTATATGTGGTGATATGCTCGTTAAGATCAGTGGTTCCGTTGTATTTCGGGATATCTGGCATTCAAAACTTCTTCGGGATGGGCTTCAGAGCCGCACTCTAGGGGAACGATTTTTGTACGAACTTCTTCGAGTCCAGTCCTTTCAAAATCGTAGGTGCTCCCGGTATTTGGTCGACCCTTAAGTTATATGTCTCCACTTTTTTATCATTTTCTTCAATCTTCTTTTCTCCGGTCTCGATCCTTTTGGCGAGCTCTTCGAGCATTTTAATAATCGCGGGGTCAGTCCCCGGCATGCCGAGTGTTCACTGGTTCAGCTATGTTTGGAGTTCTATTCTGACTTTGAAGTTGAGTGATGGTGACTTGCTGGGCTTGCAACATTTCGAATATCACCTGGAGGCTGACTCCTCCTTCTTCCATTCCTCATGTTCTTTGTCCATCGGGCCGGGCTTCCCTGCGTGCATTCCTTACGGGGTATGCACCTGAATCTGCGTTTAGAGCGTTATATGAGCTGATATCCACCGGCTCCATATTTAGCACTTCCTCAAGGTTAATGGGTGGCACACCGACCCCTATACCGATGTTTTCCCCAAGACCTTCATCCTCGTGAATAGGTGCATTCTGTGTGCTAGATATGTTTAAGCTTGAGAATTAAAAAATCTTGACAAGAAAAAGTGTAAAGATAACTTGTGTAACGAGAATCAGTAAAGTAATCACTATTATCTTTAGCCCCACGGTGGGCGCCAAACTGTTCAGCTCGAAAAATGTGAGTAACAGTTAAATATAACTTATGGTTTTAAAGATATGTGATTTATTCCAATACTAGTGAACATACAAGTAATGTTAAGCTTAAGTAAGAAGAATTGATGAGCCAAACCAGTATTGTTAGAGCGATGGGGACCTCGAGCTTGATTATCTCGTGAGCCTTGAGGTCGGTTAAGAGCAAATGAAGTAAGAACAATAAAGTTAAAGCAATAAAGCTGAAGAACAATTGTGGAGCACGAGAAAAGCGAAGTAGAATGTTCTATTGTAGTGAATAATGTGTCATGTTTTTTACAAATGATTGGGGTCCCCTTTATATAGGAGGAGAAAACTCCAATATAGTACATTCCTAATTGTGGCAAGGAATTCTATTGGTACAGCTGTATAACAACCTAGTACGGACCTGTACTATTTTATACAAATCTTATCCTTTAATTTATGCCCCGATCCACGTGTCCTTGAGAAATTTTCGCTCTTTCTTGAGTGTCATCGGAATTGCACTGCCTTCGATGTAGGCCGTGTCAGGCATTCGATTTGCTCCCTCGAGGCGTGTGCTTTGTAGTCGGATCCGACCCCCACTTCGAATCGTCCGGATTCGAACTTATAGCCCCATTTAAGATTTCGAATTTGGGCTCCTCGATTTCGACCATATACATGAAAGAAGATTTAAAAAGCCCATTTAGTACTGTTGAAGCCCAATAGGATTTGATCTGATGTCCTTGCCCACAAATGTTTGAGGAGTACCCAAGAGAATTTCTTAAAACTAGGAAACAAAGTGGAGGATTACTTGCTATTTCAAGTGGAACTCGCCCAAAGCAACACAATTTAAAAGAAAACGTACAATAGTACTAATTAGAATTGAAAAGAAGTCTTGATCTAAAAGTACTTAATCATAGCAATGAAGGAGCAAGACCCGGGCATATCAAACAATCTATATATTACACCTAGCATGAAATGTTATAAAATCACATAATGTGTCAAAATTTTCTAAAATCATCCCCCTTAAATTTCATCAAAATCTCCATTTCTTCACCTTCCACGCTTCGCAACAATTACCCATTAATTATCACGCGAACACAAACATTAAAATAACACCATGGATCTCCGACTAAAGATAATCTTCTTTTTAGTTCTAGCGATGATTATTGATCCTATATCATCATCTTCATATGATCACAAATATCGTTATACCAACTTTGGTCATGATTTTGCAAGCATGTTTTGCGATCATGCAGTTGCAATTGCAGGCTCCAATACAGGTGCCAGACGAATACTGCAAGCCGAAGATAGCTATATTAGCTATGCAGCACTTTCTGCCGATAGTATTCCATGTAATGTACGAGGAGCTTCTTATTACGATTGCAGTTCACACCTGGAAATTAATCCCTATCGTCGTGGTTGTAGTGAAATAACTCGATGTGCTAGGACCAATTCTTGAAGATCTATCTTTTATTTCTCAAATCTCTTGAGTCATCATATGAAATCTATATTCAATTTTCTCAAGTTTCTTTTTTCGTTCTTCCCAACTTTTTTGCGCCCAATGGGTAGATCTGACAAGTAATTAGTCATCATAAGAAATTTATATATGATTAGTGTGATTGTTAATTTTAATTTGTTCGCCTACAATTAGAGAGTTGGATGATATTGATGTAATTAAATTCGTCCAAGGGCATGAATTTCTTTATCCTTTAACCTACGAGAGGTATTTCTACCTTTCTAAACACTTAAAGCAACACAATTAGCTGTCCATAATAGTATTTTTTTTAAAAAAAAAAAATATTTAGTGTATAAAAATTAAACTCTATGTGATACTCTTCCAGAGAACGATGGATCGAACAATGGGAGATAAGCAATGCCAGGAACAAAAAGGAACTTCTTCATATATTATGTTTAGTCGCATGAGGAGTCTTTGTTTAAATTTTAATTTGATAGGATAAATTAGTTAAGATAGTTTAGGTTTTTGAATTTGAATATTTATTCTGCAAATTCTGTTTTCATATTGGCTATTTAAAACCTTTTTGATTAATTAGTCTCTATACTCGTGCGTTGCACGAATATCTTGTGCCAAATATTACAAACGCGTACCATAAGTAATTGCTAAAGTTAGATAATGAGTTGCTTAAAATAGAAGTTTTTATATATGTAATGCAAACCAAATCATAATAACGTTGTGATAACCAAATAACAAAATGGAACTAAATAGTTTAAAATTACACAAGATACGAATAAATTTATAATCGGTTAAAGAATGCAATAATATTTAATATTAGTTTTTATACAAGTTGTTTATCGTAATGACAAGTATAGTAATCCAAATTCATAATTATTTCCAACTTTACCAATTTGTAGTTGTATTAAAAGTTCTAGGTATTTGTAGAGTAGGAATTTGCAGTCGGCATTGGAGTTTTAATCTGTAAAGAAGTCCTTTCTTAGTTAATATATTTGGAATTTACAATTACATCCACCTTTAACTCAAAATTTTAAGGGCATAAAATTCTATCGAAGTTTCGAGGATATTTTAGTCATCCAACATTTAATATAAATTATTCGTGCTTTTATAATAATATAGATATAGATATAAATAGATAGATAGGTAGATAGATAGATAGATATAGATAAAATTTATGAGAGAGATGTTCAATCAATACTTCAATCTTTTTGTTGCTCCATCCTTTCTAAAAACCCAACACAGCTTACTACAACTTCGGTTCATCCTAAAAGCGTTGTTCAACGCCATCGCTGCTATTTGAGCACTACATTAGATATCTTACAAAAACACCTTTTCCTGATACAGTTAGACCTTTCTATAACAGCATTCCTATATAACAACACTTCACTATAAAAGCAAAGTTTTTCCGGAACCAATTTTCAGGTTATGTTATAATATGTTCTCTACAACAGTACTTCGCTATAACATCCAAAAATATTTGAAACAAACGAGGTTGTTATACAGAGGTTTGACTGTATTTCATGTATGTTAATCTAGTCAATTTTCTTTTGGCTGTTTGGACAACTCTTGAAAAAAAATTGAAAATAATTCTTGGAAAATACATTTGTACAGACTAAAACTAAAAGAACTAATATCTATTTATGAGTTTTTTCAAGTGAAAGAACCTTTCTAAAACAATGAGATTTGCAAGATCTCAAAAAGTTTTCACAAACCCTAATAACTCGGAAATTTCACTTCGTAACCTTTTAAATTAACACACTTATTAATGCTTAATAAACGATCTTAATGGACTACCTTCCACCTTATGGATAAATCCTTGGCAACAAAAAGCGCACGTTTCCAATTCTTAGGGTACTCTTAATGTAATAAAGCAAGAGAAATATCTATAGAGTTAAAAACATCCATTAAAAACAGAACTAGACACAACGAATTAAATCAAATTACATAAAAACAGTAGCCATGATCAAACTAAACACCCAAACCAAACCACTTGAACCAACAACCACTGCAGCCGATTTCGTAGGAGCCGGAGCTGGTGAAATGGATTGCGGCGACGGTGCAACGACGGAAGGAATATCTTCCGGCGGCTGAGTTGGAGTGGTAACGGGAGAACTCGACGGCTTTTGGGTGGCTGGGGATGGAGATTTATGGCGGTTGTGATTGGGAGATAACACAACAACTAGAAGCTTCTGGCCTTTCTCACAGTTATCATCTTTTCCACTGATGAAGTAGAATGCACCTGACCTTGTAAACTTCAATTTTGATTTACCATTCTTTAGCTTATGGATTGGCTTATCCTTTTTGCATTTGAAGTAATCATCTTTGTGTACCACCAGTACTGAATCTGACCCTTTTTTGTACTTGAATACTGCACCAAAATAAGAATTTATAATCTTTATATAACAAAAGTCTAATAAATATTCTACAATCAGCTAATTAATAATAATCATTCATAAAAAGTTGAACTAGTAATCTAAAATATAAGCCAACTTATCTGTTATAACCAATTATAATATAGTGATAGTATAAAATAAGAAAGGGCAGGTGAGACAAAAAAAATTAAAATAAAGTAACAACGCGATCACACCAAATCTGTTGTTCCATAAGTGGCACTTTTCATCATCAATACAATAAAATAAAATTTATTGTATGAAAAATAGCAATACGATATAATACAATAGGTAACAACCATCCAAACAAGCTGTTAATATATATACTCAATGGTGGAGTCACCCTTGTCCAAGGAGAGCGGTGTCAAAATTGGTAGATAGGTAAACATTTTTTGTGTATATATATATATATATATATATATATATATATATATATATATATTGAATCTCCTTAGTAAAAATTCTAACTCTCCACTATATACAAGTTAAATAAAAAATACTTTTGATTATTCAAAAAGAATAACATACAGGAGAAGAGGAAAGGATTTACCAATAGTGTCATTAACTTGGAAACGGTTTCTTTCAGCCCAATGACTATATGATTCAGAAGGTTTTAAAACCCAGCCTTCTTTGCCACCAGCATAGAATGTATACGCTTGAGATATGCAAAGAACACTCAGAAATATCACAAAGAAAAAGCTAACAAATGAAGGAGAATCCATGTACAACATGCAGATCAAACTGTGTAAGAATTAGAGAATGAGAAAATTCAGAAGCAAATTTGCAAAAAGGAAGAGATTAATACAAAGAGAAGTTAAAGCTGAGGAAAAATGGATGAACATGGGACTAAAAGAGGGCAAGATTGGCAGAATTTATGGAAAGGATGAATGATATTACCGTTGGGTTTTGGTGGGAGTATATGGAAAGTCTTAGCTGGGAATTTGTGTGTGTTTTAATTTCTCATAAATTGCTGTTATTGATCAATCAACTGCTTATCATTTTCCTAGGAATAACGCTTGCACACACCTGGCATTTATCTTGGATATTTAAAACTATAATCAGAAAATTCAAAATTGTAGTCTCTTCAAACGGATTAATTACGCACGCCAGAAAATCAATAAACTAAAGCAATTTCTTATATGGAGTAATATTTAACACAGTAAAATATGAATGGTGCGTTCAGGTTGTAGAGGAATATAGAAAAGACAACTATATGTATGGTCTCTATATTTTTCTAACCGCATTTATAGTACTCTCTATGTATAAATGTAGTGATTCTTTCTCTTTTGGTCAAGATCATATTTAACTAGGCGTAAATCCATGCATGTACATTAAGATTTGGTGTTTGTTTGTCGAGTTTACTATATCTATGTATATATATTCTATATAAAAATGTAGTGGTCATATCTTTTGTAGTGAAGATCATATTAACTAGGTGGTCTTAACTAGCAAATTGGCGTTTATGTGAAATTGAGAATAAATTTTGAACTGTAACAACAACGACAACAATAATCCCATTGTTCCCGCAAGTGGGGTTGGGGAGGGTAGTGTGTACGTAGACCTTACCCCACCTTGAAAATAGAGAGACTATTTCCAATCTCCGCTCACGAAGGGCGAAAAGAAAAGCAATAGCACCAAGCAATAAAACAACAAAATAATAAGAAAACTAAACGAAAGGAACAACAAGTAATAATAAAAAAAATCTAACAATAACAGAATACGCAATACTAATACTCTTGACTACCTATTAGTTGTTTACCTTGATTCTCGATCTCCACATACCTGTCAAGGTTCATGTCCTCGGTAAGCTGAAGTAACGTCATATTCTGCTATTTACCGTAAAAATAGTAACAACAATTAAATTTGTAAATGGGATTCTAAAAATACGTGATCTATTCCCGAGCTAGTTGTTAGAGCAGTTAATGCTAATAATATGAAATTTAATGACGAAATGCAAGACAAAACGAGATAGTAATCAAACCGAAGGGCCTGCTGCCCAGGTATATGTCGGGTCGATGGGGGACCTCGGGATTAACGTCAGGGTCGAATTCGAGCTATCGGGGATAATCGGGGATGGGATAACAGTTGAAGATATAATTAAACAAGGCTCTTTCTGGCCAATACTAAGTTATATGATGAAGAACAAGTAAGAAAGTAATGAATATCAAGGTGACCTCGAGCCAGTGAGAACGAACAAGTTTAGAAAGGAAAGATAGAGAGAGAGATATTATTGCACTTGTGGAGAAAATGGAGCAACATCAGTCTGTTACAAGGTAGTGTGAGTCCTTTTTATATAGGAGGGGAACTCGACTACAAGCACATAGGCATTAATTACAAAGTATGGAGATAGGATGGCTTGACGTGACGACTCAGCATAAGCTCTGGATAGGTCGGCCCTATCAGGCTTACCCGTATGCCTTGAGAGCTTCCCCTTCTGTCCTGGCTTCGGTCCTTGTCTTCTCTGAGTCGGGCCTCGACGAGCCCCGAGGTTGGGAACTGGGTCATGGCTTCCCACCCTCGGGGTTTCGAGGCGTTCTTCCGAAATGACTTGACAGTAAGAAATCAAGTCCTCCGATTTTGCCGCGTACAGATAATCTCCGCGTTTCCCATAGCAAAGTGATGGGAAATGATTCTGACACTTGACTCATCGAGCTTCTTATGGCGACGTCGTACCGATGATGCGACTCCTGGTGTGGGTTTTGTGGTAACCGGGCATCCACGGGCTCGTGTATTTTCGACTTCATTTAATGCACTCCTGATTCCCGCTCTCCAAGGTGAAGGTACCGTCGTCGACTCGATTTTCCAAAGATGCATTAACTAAGTCCGTCGGTCAATCTTTCAAAGCCTCGATGACCGTATCGTAAACCCCTATAAATGGGGGTGTTTTGGTGTTGTTTTTCCTATCCCAATGCCTTCATTAGCTTGCTTGCCTATTCCTTCTTATCATCTTCTTCTATCCTTGAACATCATGCTGGAGGAGCTCCCTTAGATCGGGTTGTGGCCCTTTGCCGGTGTTTAATCGCGATGTCCCGCTATTGTTGTGGTCGTCGATATGCTGGCCTTTGCTGCTGTTGTTGGCCCGAGATGATGACGGACAGGGAATTGGTTTTCCCCTCATGTAGACAGTCATTCGGATTATGCACCGCTGCTCACCTTCATACCCCGGCTCAAAGTGGTGCTCTGCTCCGAGTTGGGGGCTTGCACGGCTAGACGTTCCAAGAAGTGGATTCTAAGTAGCCATGCAAGCGGGACCGAGGGTTGTTCGGTCCGCTGTCTCTCCGAGGCTCCCTTGGCCAAAGAGGGTCCTCGAGCTTCGGAGAGCTATGGCATTTTTTCATCCCTCCCTGCCACTCACCTTGTCCTTTGGGGATATCAGTGTGGAAGGTTGGGATGAAACTTCCAAGGATGTGCGTCCGGAGGCACCTGTTGCGGACCTTTCGAAGGTGGACCGGTCTTCATGCTTTTACTTTGTGTGTGCATCCCTTTGTCTCTTCCTCTTTAGGTGTAGACTTTTGTAGGCTTTTGTAATTCTATGTAATGACCCTTTGAGGGCTGTTGTACATGGATATTTATAAATATGAATATATTCCATTGACTTCTGCTTTCGATTCTTGCTTTGTAATTGCATGTTTTCATTCCCTTCGAGGCCTTTTGAATCTCTCCCTTTATTGTTGATCGCTGACATTTAACTTGGGCATGAGCGTTCTTTTCGCTCTTCTGCCGATTGACATAGCTCCCTTCCGAACCCATCGTCTTACCTTGGACCAATCCTGAATTGATCTGATAGGCCCGGGCTGTCGGGGCCCTCCGAGTTGTATAGGGATAATACACCAAATTCCGGGGCCTTCGGGGATGTTATCCCAAATGAAAGTCAGTTTCGGGTACCTGGGGGTCCCCTTTTGATCTTGACACAGATAGCCTTCTTAAAACATATAGGATGAACTTCTGCTGAGGGGTTGCCTGTACTGGGGCGCTGCCTCGAACCTTCATGGAGCTTTCGTGATTGGAGCTTCTTGTGTTCATTCCTCTTTTTTAGAAAAGGAATCATGAGATCGGGTATTGCCTCGTGTCGAGTGATGGCGTTGAAAGCTTCCCGATGTCCGACTTCTCTTTGGCGGGGATCCTCGGGGTAGAGCGATGCCTCGAGATTGGAGATAATACGGACAATTCTTCGAGTCTTGGCTTCTCGTCGAAGGTTGCTTCCGGGATCGGGTATCACCCTGTCGATCTGCATCGAGGCTATAGGTTTCTCGGGGCTCACTTCGGGTAGGCGAGTCATCGCTGCTTCTCGCATATATGTGGGGCGGCGTCGGCTTCTTCGCAAGACCTCAGTATTTTTAGATAGCTGCTCTTCCGCTTTGGCATAGGGTTCTTCATTTCTTCAGGTGCAAAAAGTGTTATTGCACGCCCTTGTTCTGATCTGTTAGTTTTACCATAGTCATGGCTAGGGATGTCAATGGATATTCGAAAACCGACTAAACCGACCGAATCGTACCGCACCGAACCGATTTTTAGGTTTTTTCTTAAGAAACCGTAGGTATTTATATAAATCTATAATTGTGCCGATAATTAGGGTAGGTTTTTTATTTAGTAAGTTTAAAAGTAATAATGCATTAAATTTTCTTTGGGCCTTGGAATTATGAAAACTATTACAAGCCAACAAGTAATTAAACTCAAAATACTAATTCCTAAATTATGCTACTTCTACTTAAACTAAGTTATTTCAAGTATCTTTATTAGCAAGACACAAAGTATTCTAGCGATTATGAGTATGTATTGAATATGTTTCCTTTCATATAATTTGGATTTATCTTTTTGAATATTTAATCTTCTATAGACTTTATTCTTGAGTCTCGGCTTGGTATATCTTTCAACTCTTATGATTTATATTTTCTTTGTCTTTGTTTGATTTCTTTTACGCTATTGTAGAATAGTTGATGGATCTATACTCTAGCCATCTCTTCTTCTTTTTTTAATTAATCACCTTTTAAATAGTAAAAATGTCTAGAGAGTTTTGCTAAGTCTTATAAAAGAACGCATGTTATTACATTCTACTTCTACTGGGGAATTTTACATGATATAAAAAAATACCAAAAATTAACCGAACCGTACTGATACAAAAGAGAAACTGACATAATTGGGACGGTTTCGAAAAGTCTAATTTTGGTTATACATAATAGAATAACCGAAAAATTGGTATGGTACAAATTTTATAAAATAATTGGCCGAACCGAACCATTGACACCCCTAGTTATGGCAACCACTTCGGGGCGGTCCCGGCAGGGAGCGGGAAGTGCTGCTCCCGGTGCTCAGGAATTGCGGGCGTTCGCTCTGAAGATGGTGTCCTTGATAAGAGGGGAACATCTGGAGATGGTGAGAAAATATTGTGGATGGAGCGAGGGGATAGCGTTGCAGGTACTTCCCCCGGATGAGAGTATTACGGACTCTACTGATGGATTGTTGAGCGTATACCTATATCATTTCGCGTTTGGTCCCCTTGATAGGGTTGTGCTTGATTTTTGCTTGAAGTATCGGGTTACTTTGGCGCAGATACATCCGTCATTTTGGCGGGTGGTGCTGATGATGAGGCTCTTTGCGGAGAAGGCTGGGCTTGAATTCACGCTTAACCATCTCGTCAGGCTATACCAACCCTTTCATCACCAGGGCCTACTAACCCTGAGGTGTCGTTCGTCCACGCCTTTTGTAGTTGACGACAAAGAGAACGAGGATCGAGAGTGGGCCGGTTGGTTTATCCGGGTCCGAACGGTCAACATTATCCCCGTTGAGCTACTGCCATTCCTGAAGGGTGGAATTATGCACGT